GACACTGCTGGACTCGCCTACGTGAAGTCCGAGCTGCTAAAGAGACACACGTGCACAGACCTGGGTGAACTGCGCAGCTACCTTGGCTTGCAGATCACTCGGGACAGAGCACGCCGCACCATTACCTTGACTCAGTCACACATGGTGCAGCAGGTCCTTCAGCGCTTCGGCTTCACGTACTCCTCGCCTCAGGCCACTCCTCTGCCTACTCACCACTCACTCTCAGCTCTGCCTTCGGATGAGTCCGTAGAGTCGAGTGGTCCGTATGCAGAGCTTGTTGGCTGCCTCATGTACCTGATGACCTGCACACGACCTGACCTTGCATACCCTCTGAGCATTATTGCACGCTATGTTGCTCCTGGGAGACACAGACCGGAGCACATGGCTGCAGCGAAGAGGGTATTGCGCTACCTGTGCAGTACGTCGGGCATGGGGCTAGTGCTTGGAGGGCGGAGTCCAGTGGTCCTTACCGGCCACGCGGACGCTTCTTGGGCTGACGACCAGGCTACGCAGCGGTCGTCACAGGGTTACACCTTCAGCCTTGGTTCCGGCTCTGTCTCGTGGCGGTCTACTCGCTCGTCTTCGGTTCTCGGCTCCAGTTGTGAGGCTGAGATCTACGCCGAGGCCATGGCTGCACAGGAGCTTCGCTGGCTCACCTACCTGCTGACTGACCTTGGAGAGCCGCCTCGTTCTCCTCCAGTGCTGTACGTAGACAACAAGGCCATGCTGGCCTTGTGTCGAGAGCAGCGCTTGGAGCACAGAACGAAGCACATTGCTCTCCGCTACTTCCTTGCTCGTGAGCTGCAGCAGCGTGGTCAGTTGCGACTTGCGTACGTGGCCTCTGAGGCCAACACTGCTGATGTGTTCACCAAAGCACTCGCGCCTTGTGACCATCAGCGCTTTTGCACCCAGCTGGGTCTTGTGCCTGTCTTGCCTCACTTGCTCTCCTCTTGACTTCACTTGTACTGTGACATATATATATGCCTGCTCTTGCTTGTCTAGTTTTATATATATGTCTGTACTCCTGCATGTGAACTGGCCTCTGGCCCTTCTCTTGTGCTCGGACTGTGTGGTGACTTTGTGATCCACCCTGAGCTTGCTTTGCTTTGCTTGACTGGTCTTGTGACCCCTTGTTCTCCCCCACTTTGCCTATGGGGGTGTGTCAGATTTATATGACATAGTTGCTGTAGGCTATAGTGGGGTAGCACATATGGGGTACAGGTTTTCTAGGGTTGTATTTGTACCCAATCTTTTCTTAGTCATTTCATTCCTGTTTTCTTTACTTCACAGCTGCTGCTGTTGCCCCTCCTCCTGCTGTTGATCTACCCCAATCCTCCCAGCCTCGGGGTGGTTTCCACCAAGAGCCGCCATCATCAGTCCCGGTATCGGGTGACCCAGCAGCTGCAGACAGGACAAAAGCCGCAATCCGGATACGCCTGCCACGTAAGCATGCCTCTGTACGCCCGGGTGGAACGCCGGGTTGCGGATGGAGAGTGAGCGGAGAGCAGTTAGTTCCCATAACGAGAGTGGCAGGTGTGCCATAAACGGGAGGGTGAGAGAGAGCGAGGTGAGGGACTCTTGAAGCCCGGAAAACATATTCTTTTAGAGCCTCGGGACTTGGTAGGCTTTCGACCAATCAGGACCCAGCTGTAGCTCCAGATGTAATAGTAACGAGAGGTGACTGAATGGGGTGGAGGAGCAGGTGACGGTGCAAGAAGGATCTGACACGTGGAGGGTGAGGGAGTCCACCGACAGCGACGTGGTGGAAGTGCCAATCACAAAGCCTGAAGTGCGACGCTCAGGTCGAGTTCGACGGCCACCAGAGTGGCTGAGCTTCCACGCCTGCCCACCAGAGCCTTCACCATGGTGTACGACGAAGTCGACGACAACCTGTTGTAAGACGACGTCGAGGAGGATGAAGACCTGCCGGAGCTCGACCCCGACGTGCATCCGACCCTGAACACCGCTAGGACATCGCCACGATGATGGTGAAGGAGGTGTTGTCGAGGCCGAAGGGCGTTAGAAACGGGACGGAGGGGAGGAGGGAGGGAGGGATGGTTTTGAGTGAGAGTGAGAGGTGGGAGAGGCGGGTGAAGAGAGGTATGATGGTCAGAGGGAGGAGAATGGTGTTCGAGGAGGGGTTGTGAAAAGGCGGGAGGTCGGGGGATGGGAAGAAGTCGAGACAAGGGAAGGAGGAGGAGGATGAGGTGGAGGAGGAAGAGGAGGAAGAGGAGGAGGAGGAGGAGGAGGAGGAGGAGGAGGAGGAGGAGGAGGAGGAGGAGGAGGAGGTGGAGGTGGAGCCAAGGAGGTGGAGGGAAGTGAGGTGTGAGCATCGTTGGAGCAGCAACATGAGTCCGTGAACTGAATCTGGATGGGATTCTGGGTTTTGGGTGTTGCCACCCACACCAGCGCTCTCCGAGTCCCCAGTGTTGTCAGATGGATTCTGATTGGTGCCGGTGGTGACATGGAAGATTCGGTCTCTGTGATTGGAGGAGAGAGTGAATGTATCGGGGGGTTGGGAGCTTGTGCGTGCGACACGTAACAGGAGCTGTCGGACCATTTTACCGCCTTCCACCTGCCGGCCCAACTGGATGTGACAATGGCGAAGGGACGAGCCGCAACGAGCAACCAGGCCGCAAACGGCATCAATATAGTCACATCCGGTGTCACTGACCTCTCCCTGGGAGGAGTCGGCCCCGAGATGGGGCAGAAACGGGAGGTGGAGGGATGTGAGCTCTGGGAAGCTTTGCAGCATTGAAGCAACACGGTGCAGGGACCAAGATCTGGTACTCGGAGGTGTATGGAGTCGGAGCACGTCTTGTAACGAGGATAACGCCAAGGAGCATGAAGCTACATTGCCAAAATGTTCTTTCGTGAATCTGTCCTAGAAGTTACTTTTGGGATTGACACTTTCTCACTATCCCAAAATTGTCCTAGAAGATTCGTTTGGGACAGAAATGTGACCCAAACGTGACCCAGTCTTATCCAAGAAGACACTTTTGGGATGGTTGGATAGTGTTGGTCCCAAAAGAAACTTTGAGGACAGAAACATTTTGGCGATGTAACGAATCCAATCTGCCGCCAGACACTTTGAGTGAAGGCAGAAAAGCTAATGCTTCGTTATAAAGAGCCAACGAGTTGTCAGCTCTAGCCAGTTTGAATGATGAAAGTGACGTTTCAAGCTCTTTGAAGCCACAGCGAGCATCCCAATCATCCAGAGATGAATCAAAACAGCCCTTTGCTGCAGCAAAACCAGTGAGATTCAGCCGCGAATTCATTGAATTTGGACGAACGATCCGGAATTGGCCGACGGGAAGCTGACTGAACAGAGCCTGCCGGAGCAACGGCTCCCATTCAAGCGAAAGCGGGTTTGGCGCGAGTGACACGTGGCCGACTGACGGGCGAACCACGACCCTCTAGCAGTGCCACCACAAGCGACACGTGGCGACTGCTCGTGCCACGTGGGCGGCGTTCATTAGAAGGCAGAAGATTCGCGCGAGGCAGTCGATGGGGAGGGCTTGAGCGCCGGACGCGCGCTGAACCTGAACAGCAGTCGCTGCCGGGGGTCGCTCGCAACGCGCGAGGCAATGGCTCGGAAGGGCCTGAGCGCCGCCAGAAGGTCGGGCTTGAATAGCAGACGCCGCTTGCGGTCGTTCTTCTTCCGTAATACCGTCGCGGCTTGATAGCAGCGGCGATTTCACTTGAACAACAGTCGCCGCTGGCGGTTCTCGTCGCGAAAAAGGCCTTGCCAGAAAGTTGCGGAAAAGTTGCAAAAAGGATACTTTTTGGATACCTTGGTTTTGCAACATTCCAGTTATGGTCAAATGTTGCAGAAATCGGGATTGCAAATCAGTTGCAAAAAAAGTTGCAAAACCGCAACACTTCCGCAACTCTCTTGCAACAATCCTGCACACATGCAGCCACCATTCCGCAACATTCTGCCCAACTTCAGGTCACTAATAGCTTGCCGTGAAGTTGCGTGCATGTTGCCGAAAGATCACCCCCATGTTGCCACGCGCTCCGTTACAACGCGACGCCACCGTGGCAACGAGATCCGTACTCGGATCTGATCCCGTACGGTATTGGCCATGAAACGTACATCAATCAGGCTCCATCATGTGTGTGCTATCTACTGGCACACGGCATGGTAACTCCGCTTTGTCCACCACTGTACTGCATACGCGGACACCTTCGTGCACCACTAGCACGCATTCGCGAACCTGACAACGCCCAAACCCTGCACGACATCGAACACTACCGCGCGCACGACGGAGCACACTGTTAGGGCCGCTGGTTCCGCACACCACCGCCACGCCCAATCAAGGCGCGCTAGAGCGTAACGCTGTGACATCCAATGATGCCGGGATTGGCTCCAATCGCCGTCGCCCGCGTATTTCGCCCCACCGCATCCCCGCCGTTTTCCGCACACTCCTCACACGCCACCCAATCAGCGCGCACTCCGAACACAGCCGGATACTTCGCCGCACAGTTACCCATACCTCGTACACTCAATCTGCCACGTTGCACACACGCATCACGCCAGCATCCTGGCTTCATCTCAACTAGAACGCGGTATATGCGGCGTCAACACCGACCGTCAATCCCATCGCAGCGCGCCGCGGTACCACCACCCGATCGCGACACGGTTAGGTATCCGTTTACTCCCGAAATGTACGCGTTATTGCGAGCTCAGCGCGCTGCGTGCGCGCATATGGCACACCACGTTACGCAACACAAATATGCCCACTTACAAGTGCTTTATTCACTGTCGCAACACACCAGGATATCGCACACAACAAACCCAGCATGCTACACAACACACCATCGCCAATGATGTCCCTACACTACCGCCAAACGCCTTCTTACTACATCCCCACCTCGTCGTACGCTAACCCCTCACACATTCCCACACACATGCATGAAACTCTAAGAGCGGAACAGGCAACGGCAGCAAATGTCCTTGTAAATGTAGGGACGCCTCACTAAACCCTAGACCAACTTCAGTCACTTCCGCGAGAAACCGAACCACCTTCCTCCACAACTGGCGCCCTCTGCGCATACCGGCCTGGAATCAATTGCTCTAGCCCACACGAGGACAGCATCAGCCCGTGCTCCCCCCAGACCCACGCCTGGGCATCAGCATCGTACTTGGGCTTGAAGTCTTGGATCGCCTGCGCCACTGCCCTCTCGGCAACCTGGTGGAGCCCGTTCACCACCTCCGCGTTGCCACCAGCAGAGTTTGACAGGCGGGCCTTGCGCTTGTCTCAGTTAAGAACCGTGTCTGTAACCTGCGTGTAACAACAAACATTTCACACACACACATCAGTCCCGCGCACGGGTGGGCTGAACGGGGATTGAGATGCAACTCACCACATGCTCGAGCCACGCCATCTGGTACAGTTTCACTGTCACCGCTCCCGTTACCTTCTTGGGCTGGAAGGCGGTCACGGCACACGCCGTGAACGCTCCCGACGCAAAGGTCATTCCAGTCTTGCTCTCGCTCCAGGTTGACAACGTCAGATCGTCTGCCCACACATATGTGCAACGTAACTCGTCGCCATCTGAGCTACATACATCATCCCTGGATGGTGACATCCCGCCGCGTACCATTCACGTCATCGAGAAGGCGATACCGAAGCCGAACATCTGCCGCCTCTCTGAGCTTCTTGCGTGCCCAAGGGCTTTTCCTGTCTCGCTCGTTGCGCCATAGGCCAATGCACGGCAGCGCAATGTCTCGAACGCGACCCGTCACCTCTGTCTTCCACTGGCTCAGTGCCTTGTTCAGGTCAGCGTATCGCGCCTTGTCGGCCGCCAGTGCGAGCCCCGCATAATTCATCGTCAATCGTGGTGTGACCCAGCATAATCCGAGCGTCTTGTCGTGGCTTCTTGGGTAAAAGGTCATGACATCATTGGCCCGCTCGATGAACAGGTACTCCCGCACATGGTCGCAGGTTTTCTGCCATGTCCACGGCATACAACACACCATGGTTACCCACAGTTCAAGAACGCACAAACAGCAGCGCGGGAGACATTAGACCACCCGTAATGCAAAACCATGAGTATGTGTCACCATATCATTCCACACTCACCTTCCACGCTTTTCCGGACGGCATGAAATCAAATGCCTCCTGCAGTATGGGTGAGCTCGACACTGTCATGTGGCGCCGCCGGACCACACGGCGTGCCCTCACTGGCTCCACTTCCGCATCATCTTTTTCGCCCTCCTCCGATGTCGCGTCCTCCGAGCCCGATTCGCGCCGCCTGTGCTTGCTCGGCCGCGCATCTCCGTGCGCCCGTTCCCCCCTCGGGTCCCGCGGCCTTTTGTTCTGCGTTTTTGGATCGTTGGCGACCAGCAGCAGCGCCTCCAGGCGTGCAATCCGACGCTCACCGTCGTCTCTCACTGTCTTCAGCGCCTCGAGCTCGGCACGGCTAATCACGAAGACGTCATCGGCAACCGCCTCCTCCCGACGAGATCCACTTGCCGGCTGCGCAGATCCGCACGGCATCGCCGCAAATGGGTTGTCAGGCACCGGTTTAGGCGGAGCCGTCGCAGCCTTTCCTTTTGCCGCGCTAGTCTCTTCGGCCATAACGGAAGCAACAGCCTTGGATATGACAGGCGCAGCCTCCCCTTCGCCATCGCTACCCACCTCCTCATCGCACGCAACAACTTCTGCTACCGCACACCATGTAGTGAAAGTATGCGCATTCCGGCTGCAAGCCTAGTGGAGAGCCCGTATGCGCACAGGATGTAACGTCCCAATCGCCAACGGCCGTGCGGAGGTCCGCAATCTCGTCAGCCAATCATAGTCGGTATACTGTTGCATCACCGATCTCAGGACACGCATGAGCCACTCATTGTATCCTTCGCGATCCTACCCCTCCACATCACCCATCCAACTGCCTATGTAAATATGGTTGTCACACAAGCTTGGAGCCGATTGTATTTGTTACACAAACTACATGTACACAACACTCAAAACGACTATATCATGCATTGATACTAGGTAGATATCACCTAATCTGGCTACAACAAGGAAACAAATTCACTGCACCATCACTCCATCGTCACCACCTCTGGGTCTTCGTCGAACAACGCCCCCTCAAATGCATCTCGCAGAGCCACCCCCATCCTAAGGGCGCGGAAAATCGCCAGGAAACTCAATTCGGCCAGGGTGGCCGAATTGAGCGAACCTTTTCACGAGCTTCACTGACGGTTCCGCAACCAAACAAATTTGCATGGTCAAATTGTGCGAAGCTCGTTAACTGGTTACTTTCGCAACGGCCACCCCGGCCGAAAGGGTTTTCTGGCGATTTTCCACGCCCTAATCCCCTGGTCCGCCACACCTCCCATCGCTGCAGCAGCGTCCTCATTGAGTTCATGAGGTGTGCCCTGCCCGGCCGTTCCCTCTGCGTCGCCCAACCCTTCCCCCTCCAACTCAATCTCCTCATCCCCTTCCTCCACGGCACATCCGGCTGCATCCCCCGCGTCATCATCTTGCGAGTCGGAGTGCTCCTCACCGTCCCCCGCTGTCTCCTCCTCCGGGCATTCCACTAGTGCCGTCTCCCACTCCGTCCATCGGAACCACTGACGGCCTCTAACCAGCCGCTTGACAGCTGACAGCGTGCACCCCTCCAGCATACCCTTCTCCTCATCCGTCAGCTCCACTGTGCCTAACACGCGCTTACCATCTTTGACCACGTGCACCGCTGCTGCATACGCCGTTGCAGCCTCCAGCTCCTTATTGTACGCACTCAGCCTCATCTACGTCCGCTTCTTCTTATTCTTCTCCCGGAACAGAATCTTGGCGCTCCACCTACCGCGCTTCTCCTTACGCACACCCTTGTACTGTAAACTATGATCCTGTCCCTTACCCTTGCTCTTGCAAGCAGGAGCGCCGCCCTCAGCATCGGCCCCTGACGCCTGCGGATCGTCTCGTTTCCTCTTCGCCGGCATAGCCAGCACCACGGGCCTTGCTCCATCTGCATGAACCACCGCCGGCTCTGCCTGGTGCGTGGCGAGCATACTTCCTGCTGTGTCGTTTATCGACCACCTCGGAGCGGCAGGCACGGGTAGCGCGCAGGGACTGGGATGAAACATCCCTACCTCGACTGTGCCACTGCCTGCACCGTCCAGTGCTACACTCGCAGCAGATCCGCCTTTGGAACCGGGGCTGACGGTAGCACAAGGCCGCGCTCCTGCACGGGGGTTGGGGGTGGAGGGTGCAGTGGACCGGCTGCCACCAGGTGTCGCCGCGCCCCCTTCAGAACCTTGCTTCTACAAGACGTGGGCAGCTCCTGCAAGGAGCTGATCGACACTGTAACCCATCGCCACTCCGACGGCGGTGACTGCTGCTTTCCAGATTGCAAGATCCCTCTTCATGCCGTAGTGCTCCACCTGCATCCGTGTTAGCTTTGTGTTGTGGTCCTTTGCTCCAGAATCCACGACGGCTCCATGCTTAGTGACCCTAGCCGCGGGTTGCTTCGGTACGACCACACCCAGCTTCACCAGCGCCAGTATAAGGTCAGAAGCCGCATGCATGCATAGGTCGCCCCGCATGCCACGCCGGAACTCCGTCGCACTGATGCCCTCCAGGTACAGGTACGAGCGCAGGGTCTTGAAATCAGTATCCACAAGGACTTTTATGAAGTGGCACACAAAAATGCCACAGTCGTACTGGTTATCCTGCTGCTGCACCTTATGTTTCTGCACGCACGTTAGAGGCCACAACAGGCGGTTATCACACGCTGACATAGGGTGTTAACACGTCTCAGTTTGGGGAGCAGGACCCACCTTCATGGGAAGCGGCGCCGCATCTCTCAGTGTGTTCACAAGAGTCGTTGCGTCACACTCGGGGTGGAGGGCCTTGGCGGTGAGTTCCAATAACCTGGAAAGCAAGAAATTCGGACATGAGTCAGACATTCTCGTCGTGTATTGTCGAATTCACTAACACGGCCACAAAAGCAGGCAGCAGCTAACCGTTTAACGCCATCAAACACAGTAGGGTCGTCACGTTGCGTGCCATAACTGTCGAGTAGAATCAGTTCCAGAGGTCCAGTCATTTCCTCAGACGTGCCTCCCAGCAGTCGCTTAGGGCACGGAACTATCATAAGCGAGTAGTGTGAGCTGCAACATATCGTATAAAACAGACACGACCGTCATATTATTGCAGCGACTCGACAAACGTAAAGGAAAAAACAAAGCGTTCAATCAACAGCACGCACCTCTTGAAGACGGGGATGGCCAAGAAGTCTACATCAAAAACTCTGGACGCGTTGCCCATAGAGTATGGCTTGCCGAACGTGTTCACGTAGGTGAAAGCCTTGCTGTCGACCGCGGCCCATGAAGTGTCGTTGGGTGTAGTGGGTTGACGAATGCTCAGCAGCCTGCGCGCAGTCAGGCGATTGTCCAGTCAGGGAACGGGCGACACTAACGGACACAAGGCAGGCCATGACACATCGCCAGCAAAAAACGGTATAAATCGCTCACACGTTGTGGAAGTCCACGATTGCGTCTGTGACACACTGCCCGTTAGCGATGGTGATGATATCGGACGCCTCCACGACACAACCAACGCCGTCCGCGTTGAACAGCGTCATTTGATCCATCTTCTCTGGTTGCTTGGCAATCCGTAAGCGATAGACAAGATCGTGCGGCTCGGGAAGTTCCGTCTCCGTCTCCAGCCTCGTCTGGTACTGCTGGGCTAGGAGATCGCCGCTGTCTGATTCGATGCCTTCTTTAAGGGCTGTGTTTCCGTTGGTCGATTGTCTCCTTCCGCTACGGAGGCAGCGCGCAATAGTACTGACCTCCGCCACCTCTCCGTCGCCCCCATTGTTGCCCCCCTTAGCACCACGCGTGGACCTGCCCTTGGAAGCACACTGCTTGTCGCGGGCGCGCCCAAGAGGTGACATCTCTACGAAGGAGGGTCAAGCTAAAAGAAAAGTGTGCAACGGTAATGAGGGAGTATGCTGGAGTGTCCGTTATATGAAAAAGAGGTTGATACAACCTCACACTCCAGCGGCCTTTTCAGTGCATCGAGGGTAAGAAAGGGCGTTGATGACGATGTGTGGATCTGAACTAGTTTTGGCCCGAACTCGTAAACGCATGCCATTTGTTGCGCCACCATGACATGCATAAATTCTGGCATTCACTTCGTGTATTCGTTATGAACTCGGCCTCTTGACGCAGAGTGCATTAAGTGCGTGTACTGTGCTTACGTGCTTCATAGCGAGAGTCATTGACCCACATGGGATCCGATAAGCACAGCCGACCTAGCCGACCGGTGTACTCGATGGTTTCATCATATGACTCGCATATGTCAGACATGCTGACCTGTATACAAACAGGTCATGCGTTTATAACGTGCACACTGTAAGTGCGAATTTCCTTCGCGCAAAGGTATACTACCTCCAATGACCCAACATTAGGGTTTGCGGTGGTATCATGGGTGGCAACGTGTGCCGGGGGTGCAGAAAACCGTTTCGAGACGACAACAGGCTGCAGTCGCACTTGGCTAGAAGCGCGGCATGCAGGGAGGCGATTCTCGGTCGTGGTAGAGTCCTCCTCGCAGAGGCATATCTGGAGGCCCGTCAGGCGTTTTTGCACATCCCTGCTCGTACACCCGCCGCCACCGCCGCCAGCGCCGGCACCAGCGAGAGGACGGCGGAGAAGAGACCTGCTGCTCCGACAGCCGCCGAGGTGGAAGCTAGTGATGATGATGATCATTCTACCTGTAGTAAGCAGAGTTCGGACGGGGAGCTCTTTGACACTCTCACCGCAATATATCTGTTCATTAGGGACGCGGACTTGTCGCGGCGCGAGGTCAACCGATTGCTGCATATCTTCATAAATCCGCGATTCAACCTGCGTGCATTGCGGCGCTGGCGCAATGGGCTGGACGTGAGGCGATAGGGGGGAGCCAGGGCGCCTCCAGACATGGTACCGTGGCTGTGCGAGGAGATAGTGGTCAGAGGGCCTCGCGGTCAAACTCAGAAGCTCCCCCTGCATTATCGGGACACGGAGGAGGTACGTGCAAGATGTTAAGAGCATACGTTGCGCCCTGAGGGGGTGCACCATACTGATGTTGATGGTACACGCAATCACATCAATCTTTGATTCCTACACAGCTCGTGAAGAAGCTCGTGCGCATCTTTGGTGGTGTCAAGGGGTTCGTTACAAAGCCACGGATTGTTGTTGACCCCAACACAAACGAGCGGATTTACTCCGACCCAGAGATGGCGAAATGGCTTGAAGAAGCTCAGGTACGCGATGATTCTCCAGAGGACATGCCCCGCTGCGCTGACGTTTCGGCAGACGTACTCAAGAGCACGAGTTCGTGTGTGGCAGAAGGAGGTGAAAGACCCATCAGCCTGGGTGATTGGCGTCATTGTCTACAGCGACGGCACCAACGCAACATGCAATGGGCGCAGGCAGGCGTGGCCCGTCCTCATAACGCTGGTCAGCATACCTCAGGAGTTGCGCAAGACGGAACCTGGCCATGTTCTGGCTGCTGTGCTGCCGTTCCCCCCCGAGTGGGCAACTTCTACCAAGAAAGCAAGAGTGTTTCAGGAGGCAGTTCGGATCATTCTCGGGCCCCTCATGCGAGAGTCTTCTAGGTATGTACTTCGTCCGGATTTTGCTGCATGAGTTGCGCATCGTAATTCCGCCGCCAGCCTTTGGGTTAAACAATGTCCTGTCCGCTTGTTTCCTTCTTTTACATCCCTCTCAGCCCGCTCCATTGAGGGTGTTCTATGTTACCGACCCACAGAGGGAGCCTGTGAAGGCCGTCCCATGCTTCTTTGGTTACCCGAGCGACTTCATCGAACAGTGCCGCGTCACCGCGATGATGCAAACAGGCACCAAGAGGCCCTGTTGCACATGCTACGTACCGGATGACCTCCTTCAAGACTTGGAGCATAAGGCCACGCTGAGGACTGTAGACTCCAAGATGCATGTGCTGCGCAACATGCTTGCGTGCAAGACTGTGAAAGATGCTGAAGCGATTCAGACCGAGTGGTCAACCCATCCAGCGGAGGTATGTGTGTGCAGTACGCTTTGATGGTGGCGATCTAATCATAAGCCCGCCATCGTACCGTATGACGTCAGACCCTCTCATCCTCCTTGCACCCCCTTGTAGTGCGTGTTATCGCGGTGGAATTTCTCGGACACTGAGTGGGGCAACCCGTTTGGTGCAACTGTCGCGGACATCATGCATGTGCTGGACTCTGGGACGGCGCTGGACTTGCTGGAGAGGTGAGAAGTCGAGAGGTTAGTCGTATTGTAAACCCGGCATATGGGCGGAACATGGAGCAGAATGAGGTGCGCACGATGTGAAGTGAATGCATGTGTTGATGGAAACAGGGAGGTCCAATGTTAAACCCTCCGAGCACCCCTTCCTGGGCCCTCAACCCCTCCAGGCGCAAGAAGACAACCAAAGGAGAGACACCAAGTGTTCTATTGCGTCTACCCGGAGGCAGTTCCTACTTCATGAGTGGGGCCAACTATGCAGCCTTTGAACACCGCAGCATGATGTAAGTGATGCCAATTCTGGTGGCCGACAAGTCTGCGCTGCAAGTAGGAAAGACGGGAGAACTGGCCGCGCTCCGCGTGCACGCGTTCAGGATGTACGCAACGTTCTACAAGGCATTTCTGGGTGTCAGCGGACACACGGACTCCTCTCTCGCCATCGCCCGTGGACATGCCATCAAGTATGTAGACTGGACTGCGTAGGTATAGAGAACGTTGCATGCCAATATTGGCCGCACAGCTGGGTGGTTGCTGACACTGACCGTTACTTGATTTGCCTATCTGTTTCTCTGACGGGACGTGTTCTGCTCCACAGGCTTGTCGAGATTTTGCCGCAGGCGTATCCGGATCATGCATCGCATTGGCGCTTTCCAAAGATTCACATGATTGACCACCTGCTGGACAATGTGATCATGCGCGGAATGCCGCACCACTACAGCACGGAGATGTGGGAGCATACCCACAAGGGGACGGTCAAGATCCCGGTCAGGGGCAGAAACTGGAAGGACATCCCCCGGCGCATCGTGGAGGAGGAGGTGCAGAGAGAGATCTACAGGGAGGTGGCACAGGACGCGGGTGGCGGGCGTCAGTATGCGACGGCACTGCGCGAGGTGAGACTGTGCGTAGCATATCCCATCGCTGACCGTATGATCGTGGGACACGTCATTACCGCGTGACTTGTTTCCGGACACTGTCGCGACATACCCATTTCCGACCACACCCGCAGGCTGTTGAGACGATGAAGCCCGTGCTCACGAGGAAGGGACGCACGATGCGGCCGGCGGAGGAGGGAGATGCGGTGATGGGTACCTACCGCACGGTACTTGGCGAACTCATGGATGCGCTACCAGGCAGCATGGTGGCTGCTAAGATCATCGCATCTGGGGTCGTGGTGCGTACACATGTGCAAGTGTATCCTCCACCCTGGTTGCTATTAGGGAGTGCTTATGCTCCGTATGCGTGCGTTTCGAGTATACAGCCGAACTTGCTCCTTATCCCTATGCCCCACTCATGCAGGCCCACACCGCGATGGCGATTCCGCGCACCAAAGGTGGAGCACTGGTCTCCAAGGGCACGTTCAACAAGGCAAGCCCCAAGGAGAAGCGGTTCACTGACTTTGCAGTGAAGTCAGGAAAGAAGGAGGAGTGGTATGCGAAGGCGCTGTGTATTTTCAAGGTGGCGACGGCAGAGGGCGACCGGAAGGGGTTTGTGTACGTGCGGTGGTATGAGAGGGCAGGCATCTGCCCCCTGACCACCTGCGTGCAGTTGACACCGTCACGCAAGGACACAAGGCACGCAGTGATTGAGGTGGAGAGCATTCTGCGAGTTGCGCACATTTGCCGCTCTTTCAGCAACCCTGCTGTGTTGGTGCTGAACAAATTTCTGCTGTGTGAGTGATTTCGGGGTGGGGGTTTGAGGAGGCGTTTGAGGGTTGTGGTGTGGATCTGCTGGTGCTATTCTCACAGCTGGCTGCTCAAACTGTAGACTTACATGCCACACACGCGTGATGATGGAATGGTCGTCACTTGGGCAATCTAGAGACCGACACAGTGTGCTGTATGATAGCAACTGTTGTGCCGTGGTGTCTACATGCTTCTGCAAACTTTGTAGTTGTTATCTGAACACTCTAGTTGCAGGCGAATGGTGAGTGTACTTATCTTATGCGTCACGATGGGGTATGCTGTATTGCGAACGCATCCATGCGCACTGAGTGAAATTGCAAACCCCCCTGGGGGGTTCGGTTTGGTGTTGCAAGGTACAGGTACGTGGCACGATAGCGATCCGGCGAGGGACGGAGGCACGGTTTGGGCGTGGGTGTAATCCGAAAGACGCACAACCATTGGTGCGCAGTTTCATACCATTGGTGGATACTATTGGGGGGTGTTCCATGTGCGATCGCTTTGTGGGTACGGGTTTCCAATGTTGTGATGATGTGGCACAAGTGTGGCCTTAGTTCTCAACACAGCAAATACCTCAAATCTCAAAGACATTTTTGTATTTGCGGGTGTGTGCCAAACCAAGCGTTGCTGCATACTTCTTCGACGAAATGGCGTCCCTAGTATCCCTCCTTGAGGTGCTGAAGGCACCGCCCGAAAAGGTGTTCACATTCACGGAGTTTCCGTTAATCCCCGCACGGGTGCCGTTAGGAACGTCTCTGGACGAGCGTGAGCAGCTGTCGCGGAAATGGCACTTGCCCGTTTGCTTTTTGTACAACGCGACCGGATGTGTCCGCAAACCGCCGCTCGTTGTTCTACGACGAGACGACAAGAGGCCAGTACATGAGGGGCGCAATAAGAATCATGACATGAAAGTGCGCTACGCCAAGAATGGGCGGTTTTCTAGCGAGGTGAGCGGGTACAAAGGTGAGGTTTGTAGGTTGATAGTCGTTGTGTATGAGTTGCAATTTGGGTGGCCATTGTTCCGGACTCATGTCATCACCACAGACATCTGCTGTGTTGTGTGCGCAGTTGTTCACTGAGGTTGTCGACGAGTTCAACGGCGAATTGCACGCGAAGAGCGAGAAGGCGGTGGTGTTGGTGCACAACCCTGCGCACACCCTCACCGGGTGTGTGAAACGGACCAGCACAGTGGAGGGGTTTGTAGTGGAGGAGTTGACACGGGTGAAGGTTGTGCAGACATTTGGCGTGATGCCGGCTGCTGCGTTCTCGGCCATAAATGGTGTTGTGGACACATTGAAGGTAGTTTTCCGGACGTGGTTCGTGCGATCGGCGGTCACGAGCACGGAGTGGACCCGTGCGGGCGTTTTTCCTCGGCCGCTGCTGCACGATGTCCTGTACAAGCTGTTCATGGCGGGCAAGTTGACGATGCCTGGGACAATCCAGAGGAGTTGGTGGCGGGCCGGTAGCGTGCCGAAGGGCTGGCTGTCGCGGATGGACAGCTTGAAAGGGAAATTTGCGGCTGGGATGTTTGACAGTCTGGTGCTGCAGTTGACGAGTCTGCAGCTGGTCATTGAAGAGTTCAAAAGCAAGTGCAGCAGCACGGCGTTTATGACGGCGTGGGATTTCGTGGGGTGCGACGAAAACCTCATTGAGAAGTGGTCGCCAGCGAGGGGCGAGGAGGACGAGTCTGAGGATGAGATTCCGGCATACTTCTGCATTCCGGAGGGGCCGCTAATGCGAGACAGCCGTAGCTGTCGCTGCGTGAGCCGCATGGTCCACGATGGTTTCGTGAAGCATGCGGAGGCATTGGGTATTCCGCCACGCGACGTGCCAGAGGAGGCCGGAGTGGTGAATGAGGAGGTGGTGAGCCGCCTTCGACGCACGCCCACTAAGCGCAGCCGGACGGGCTGCTCTAGAGATGAGGGGATTACATCTGACGCCTCGGACGAGGCAGGCCAAGCCCAGAAGGCGGGGGTGCTGTTCCCAGTGGAGGATGACAAAGAGAGCGTCCTACGCTTGGTCTAGGGCTATAGGGTGGGTTTGCTTTAGCATTGTGGTATGGGGGGGATGAACATAGGGAGCACTAGGCCACGGTGTCATCTCATATTTCAGGTATTGTGTGTGTACGGATTGCATGAGTTGTGACTTGGGGGAAAAATTTTCCATCTGTTGTGGGTGCTACTCAATCAGGCCATACATGTGTTTCACGTGCGTTGCTTTGCCGGTTTGCGTCGCGTAGTTTCGAGATAGGCTCTCAACCCTACAAGGATCGTAAAAGCAGCAGTGTACAAGGTTTTCATGCTACACACAATCGAGTGTTCTTTGTATGCGATGCCAAGGTGTGCTTTTTCGTCGAACCGCGTCTGCCAATGTGCGAGATTTCCCGAGCCGTTGTGGAAATTGGGCATTCCAAAGCGCATACCGATTGGCATCTGGCTGCCTTACTCAGTGTGCGGGACTTAGTGGCAAATTCGGAAAGCTGCAATTTCGGGTTGTTGTTTTGTGGACACTTTTTCTGCAACTTTTCTGCAATTTTCCTGCAACTCTGGGACTTGAACTCGAAAATTGGCCAAACCCTTTTCCGCGATGGTTCACCCTGCGTACCGGTGTGAGCTCGCATCAGTTGCTCTTCCTCCATCGTACCGTCACGGTTCAATAGCAGTGTCGGTTCCATAGGTGAAAATGAGCAGATCTCAGTCGCAGCCATACCTCGGCTTGACGTCGGAGCCACACCTTATGTTAATACTAGCAATTGAAACGTTGCTGCCAGGGAAGTAGCAGCCTTAGTAGGCTAGGAGAACGGGGATGAAGTGCTCTCTGGAATTCTCTGGAAATTTCACTATGACTTCACAAATTTGACAGTACAATTTTATAGAGCACATTCAAACATCGAGTCGCACTCCCAAGTCGCGACTCTCTCTCTGAATTTCTCAATGGTAACCCAGCCCTTTGAAATGAACCTGCCATGAAATTCAGAGAATTATTGCGGTACGGGATTGGACGGCGAGCTTGGTTACGGGGCTGTAATTTCGTCGGTGTTGTTGGCAAAGTCGACGAGCGGTCGGAACTTCGGAGTCCTGCGTTTCGTACTTTTCGTGCGTGGGATTGACTTGGGCTGCGTGTTGGAATCTGGTCGCCCAGCTGCAGGATGGGGCGCTTGACCAATCCGAACTGTAGGTGAGGTGGCGCTTGACTTCCGCCCACCTGCACTGTTCTTGGAGTTGAGTTGCTGCACTGTTACGATTGACTTCCGCCCATCTGCATTGCAGTTGGCAGCATTCGTCTGCTGCACTGTTACATTACTTCCCCCTCCAAGTGGCATCGTCCACGGCGCCAAACCATGGCTGGTGGCTCTCGGGTTCCCATGAGTCCTCACTAGCAGGCTGATCCTTCCAATGAACAAGAAACTCATGACCATGAGGTGTGTCGCGGTGAGCAGTGATAGATCCAACCTCAAACAGGCCGGGGCAGCCTTCGAACATTGGTGGCAGTTGGCGTGTGGCTGGACAGTCGTGTGAAGGTGCACTGAAAGGGCGGAGGCGCTGGACATGGAAGACGGGGTGAATCTTCATATAGCTGGGCAGTTGGAGGCGGTAGTTGACCGGGGAGAGGACTCGGGTGACGGTGAATGGGCCAATGAAGCGAGGGGCAAGTTTTCTGGTTGTGCCTTTGCGAAGGAGGGGTAGGTGGTCAGTGGAGAGTAACACTTGATCGCCAACCTTGGAGCCGATATCTTTGCGGTGGGAGCTGGCATAGTGGGTCTGTTTGGCTTGTGCTTTAAGGATGGAGGTGCGAGCGGCATCAATGGCTGATTCGAGTGAGGTGAGGAACTCAAAGGCTGCTGGTGCGTGGGAGAGGTGGGAGGGTGGGGTCGTTGGGAGGCGTGGGTGCTGTCCGGTTGCGAGGTAGAAGGGTGGCTGGCCGGTGGAAAGATGGGGTGTGCTGTTGTATGCGAGTTCGATGGCGGTGAGGTGGAGGTCCCAATCAGTTTGGCGAGCAGTAACTTGTGCACGGAGGGCGTCTTCTAGCGTGCGGTTCATCCGTTCAGTTTGTCCGTCCGTTTCAGGGTGATACGCGGTAGAAAACTTCAGCCGGGTTCCGTGAAGCTTGAAGAGGCTTTGCCAAAAGTTGCTGAAGAAGCGGGGGTCACGGTCGGAAATGATGGCAGATGGGAGACCGTGCAGGCGGACTATGTGATCGAAGAAGAGTCGGGCTGTTTCAGGTGCGGTGACGGTTGTGTGGGTTCGGATGAAGTGAGTCATTTTGGAGAGTCGGTCGACGACGACTAGGATGGCGTTGTAGCTGCGGGGTGTTTGGGGCAGGTCCATGATGAAGTCCATGGTGACTTCATCCCACACTTTGGTAGGTGGAGGGATGGGTTGAAGGGGTCCGTAGTGGTTGGTGGTGCGTGCTTTGAGTTGTTGGCAGGCTCGGCAGGTGCGTATGAATTCACGCACATCGGCATGCATGTGTGGCCAATGGTAGTCGTTGGAGAGGCGTGCGTATGTCTTCTCAACACCAAAGTGGCTGCCGGTAACAGTGTCGTGGTATTCGGAGAGTAGCAGCTGCCGTAAGGAGCGATCCGCAGGGACACAAATGGTCTTAGTGACGGTGTTGTACCAAAATGGGTCTTCAAACAAGTAGGACGGGTCCGCCGGGGCTTGCTTGAGGAAAAACAGGTCACGTTTGTAGGCGCGCTGAAACTTTGTGATGAATGCATCATCCCAAGTGATGTTGCTGGTTCCATGGAGTTGCAAGGGTGGGTTTGGAGTGTGAGGTGAAGGGGATGAGGTGGGGCTGGTGGGGGAGTGGTGGGGCTGGTTGGTGGTTGGTTGGGGCTGGTTGGTGGTTGGTTGGGGCTGGTCGGTGGGTGGTGGAGCTGGTGGTGGTGGTCAGGACAAGATGTCGGCTGGATTGAGCTTTCCGGGGCGGTAGATGATCTGAAGTGATGGGACAAACTGCTCCAAGAACTCAGCCCATCGGGCTTGGCGGCGGCTGAGCACGGGCTGTGTTTTCAGGTGTTGAAGAGGGCGGTGGTCGGTGTAGACGGTGACGGGCTGCAGCTCCACATAGCAGCGCCATGTCTTGATTGTGTGGACAATGGCAAGGAGCTCCCGGTCATGTGTTGCATAGTTGCGCTCTGTCGGTTGAAGCTTACGTGACTCAAATGCAAGTGGTTGCATCCCATGGCCGTGGTCTTGGCAAAGAATAGCACCAATAGCGACATCGGAAGCATCGGTCCATATGAAGTATGGGCGCGATGGGTCAGCGACGGTGAGGACCGGTGCCGAGGTGAGTGCTGATTTGATTGAGTTGAAAGCGGTCTGCTGCGGTAGTCCCCATTGGAAGGCAGCTCCTTGACGAAAGAGGTCAGTCAACGGGGCGCAGATGTGAGAGAAGTTGAAGATAAATTTCCGGTAGTACTTGGCGAGGCCGATGAAACTTTGCAGCTCCGCTACCGTGCGTGGTGCTGGCCAATCAGCAAGGCACTGGACCTTTGCAGGGTCCATAGCAATGCCTTTGGAGCTGATGACATGGCCGAGAAAGCTGATGCTTGAACGGGCGAAGGTGCACTTGGAGAGCTTGGCGTAGAGGCGGTGTTGGCGGAGAGTGTCGAGGACGATGCGTAGGTGCTGAGCATGTTCTTCAAGTGACTTGCTGAAGATGAGGATGTCATCGAGGAACACGATGACAAAGCGGTCGAGGAAGGGCCAAAAAATATCATTCATGAGTCCCATGAACGTGGCAGGTGCGTTGGTGAGGCCGAACGGAAGTACTCGGAACTCGAAGTGGCCGTAGCGGATGCGAAACGCCGTCTTGTTGACGTCGTCTTCGGCGAGGCGAATCTGATGGTAACCGGAGCGTAGGTCGAGCTTGCTGAAAACCGTTGCTTCCCCAAGCATGTCGAACAACTCCTTGACACGGGGCAGCGGGTACTTATTCTTGATAGTGATGGCGTTGAGGGCGCGGTAGTCGATGCAGAGGCGCAAGTCACCTTCCTTCTTGCGAGTGAAAAGCACGGGGGCAGCGTATGGTGAGGTGCTGGGGCGGATGAAACCCTTCGCAAGAAGGTCATCGAGTTGTCGTCGAAGCTCTAAAAGCTCAGCAGTGCTCATGCGATAGGTTGGGCGCACGGGCGGTGTAGAACCTGGAATGAGGCGGATGCTATGGTCAATAGCACGCTCGGGTGGAAGTTCGGAGGGTAGATCATCAGGAAACACGTCCGTATAACCGTTGAGCAGATTCTGTATGGTTGAAGGCAGAGGAGTAGCTCATGCGTCAGATTCGGGAGCCGTGAAGATGACTAGGAGATGATGAGGAGGAGGTGGTGAAGGAGGGGTGGGGGTTGGTGGATTGATAACTTCAGAGGTGGGGCGGATGATGGGACGGCGTGGCTGCTGGGTTGGGTAGGGTGGAGAAGGAGGAGGTGTGTTGATCACTTCGGGAGAGCCGGGTGGTGTTGGCTGCTGCACGGGAGCTATGCGAGGAGGAGGGAGAGGGGGGATATGGGAATATGGGGATGGGACAGGTTGGGGTGGGTGGGTTGACGAAGCGGAACTGGTTGGGGATGACCATGGTCGACGGAAGGAGTGGGATGGGAGGTCGTAGCTGCCGACGGTGACAATTCCGTTGCGCCAATAAATCCGCGGTCCAAACTGGTGCAACCATGGTCGACCGATAACGCCTTCGTACCCCCCGAGGTGCAGTTGCTCGAACGTGACCATCGGTGTTATAGTCACAGTAGGCTCCAATGTGCCTAAAACGAAAGATAGAGTGCACAGTCGGATTTCTGCACAGCGGCTTCAAACGTTCATAGCGTTCTGTTCAGAGCTTTAAATGACTTGATTCAACTTGGATCTGGAGCGTCTTATTGTCCCCTACACTGGGCAATTTAGATCGCACGATTTGACCAAGTATGGACGACACAGCGTTGGTTTGAACGAACGGCACTATGGCAGCCACTATAGTCTTAGAACACAAGATAGGAAGAGTTAGGGAGAGTTACGAGTTGGGAATGACTCCCA